TCTCTTGCTCTATCTCACCATGATTTGCGCCCTTTTGAAAATCCTAAGTTTTGAAATGAATTTGTCTAAGAGGTTTGAAATTTGTGCTTATCTGATCTTCCCCTCAACCTTCCATTGCCGGAGCTCTTTCTCTCTCACCTCCTAACCAAGCTCTAATGGTTTTTTCTTGAAAAGGTGATGTTCTGTAAGTTTGAAGCTTGAACGATTTTTTTTTGTTTTTTTGTCTTGTTACGTTTTTTCTGTTAATCTACTTTGTTATCCATTGAGATGCAGGAAATAGCTTATGAGGAAGGAGAAGGATCCATACCTGTTTGGAAATTTCTGTGAAATGGAAAGGAATGGTGAGACTGAGAGTAGCGCTCCCTGGTGGCGGAATTTGTGAAGGGGAAGAGATGATGATTGAAGGCGTGGGCTTCCACACCTGTTGGTAACCCTTCTTTTCTTATCCCTGTGCTTTGAATGGTGATGATATTTGTTATCTGGTTTTGGTTTTTTTGGTTTGCTATTGTTTCGTGAGTTTTGAAATGTTAACTGTGTTTGAGATTTGGAGATTTTTGTTGATGTTTCAACAGGTTTCGTGAGTTGGAGATTTTGACAGTTTTTTGTGGGTTTGACAGTGATAACTGTGTTTGACAGTTTGGAAGCTTATTTATGTTTCTGTTTTTTTGGTTATGTTTTTGATGTTGGTGTTTCAACAGGTTTGATGAGTTTGGCCCTGTTACAGTTTTGGTTTGAGGATGTTTTTCTGGTTTTGGACTTGTTGGTGTTTCAACAGGTTTTTGTTATTGAAAGTTTGACAGGTCTGGGTATTTTTGGCTTATGTTGGTTTTTGAGGTTTTCAGATTTTGACAGTTTAAAGGTTGGTGATTCTGGAATTTGGTTTTGTGGATTTACTGTTTTTTGTTCACAGGTTCTTGGCTGGCAGGTTTTAGGTTTTTGGGTGTTTATCAGGTTTTGACAGTTAGGAGGTTTTGGTTTGTATGTTGCTGTTGGTTTGAATATTTGATGGTATTTTTGAAGGTTGTGTTTTGTTGGCTTTGATAGGTTTAGTTTGATGGTTTGAGGTTTTCGAAACTGTGTTTGATAATTTTTCTCTTTCTTTTTGTTTTGTTTTGGGTTGATGATGGTTTTGATTTGAGACTTTGTTAATGTCGAGTTAACAAGGTTTTGGTTATAGGTCTGATGGAAGATGGTTTGAAGGTTACAGTTTGGGATATTGGTTTGAACTGTTGCAGGCTTTGTGAGTTTTGAAAATGGTTGGTTTGAGATTTGTTCCAGATTTTTGGAACTTTGACAGTTTTGAAAACTTGGTTCTTTTGAGTTTTTTTGAAGTTTGATAATTTCTTTCTCTCCCTTTCTGCTTGAGAGTTTTACTGTTATATTAGTTTTGCTTCTGTTGAAATCTTCTTCAAAAAGGGGGGAAAACAAAGAAATTGAATATTTGCTATGTTGTTCCTTTGGCTTTTTGATGACAGTTTTGTTTTCTAGCAGCTTCTATGCAATTGTGACAGCAGGGAAGCGGGGTTGTGCATCCCTAGGTGACTTCTTTCCTTTCTTCTCTCTCAATGACCCTAAGAGTCAATTGCTCTTTTGCCTTTTTCTGAAAAGTTTGCAATAGAAATGGAAAATGATGAAATGGCTATTGAATAAGCCTCTTACTTGTTTGACTTAGTTTATCATATTGTTGTACTTTCTTTGTGTTGCCTGCTGTCTACTGCTATGTTGCCTCGCTTGCATTTGTATTGCCATGCTGCTGTTTGTTGCAAATTTTGTTTGGACAGCTAGCGCCTTCTGTTTGGGAATATTCGTTTGGCTGTTGTTTGGGCATTTGTTTGGTGATGCGCTGCTGTTTGCAATATTTTACTTGTTTGGACATCTTTGTTGTTTGTTTCCTAGCTTGTGCAGCTTGCTTGCATTCAGTTTGTATTATTCTGTTTGTTTGGATAAGTTTGCTGCATTTGTTTTGTTTGGACAACTCGCTTGCATTTCTTATTTCTTCTTTTTGTGAACCAAGAGGAATAATTCTCTTGTGATTTGCAAATAGAGAAAATAAAAATGTGATGAATTAAAAATAGCCTTCTGATTCCAAATTGCAAACTTTAATGATGAACACTTTTTCTTTTGAAAATTCTTGCTCATGCCCAAATAATTGTGTACTAACTTTTCTTTCTTTCATTTTCATGTGAGCACAACTGGATGGTGGCAAAGCAGGGGAAGCAAGAGACTCTGTGGCAAGCATGGAAGCAAAGGAAGCTCAGTCAACCTTAGGCATAGATTCATTTTCTTTGTAATTTAGAGAGAAACATTCTTGTATTGTATTCAACAATTGTACTAATTTATCTTTTAAATACAATAAGTTGTAAAACCTAAAGTATTTAAATAATAAACTGTTTTGTAACAACGTTTGAAATAAATGGAGAAAGTCTCTTGAGATATTCTGGTGTCCATTGAAATCTTTTACTGTCAATAACTTGTAATTTTCTCTTCGCATCCCAACTGATTCTTAAAGATTCCCAATCAAGATAATTGAAACAAAATGCTCCAATCTGATAACTTAAATTCCAATAATCCTGTAATCTTGCAACTGCATTCCAAACAAACACGCACTGTGTATTCCATTTCTTTAACAAGCAAATGTTTTAGAAGACACAAATCATCTGGTTAACCTTGAGAACAAACACTGTCTTTTCAGTAAACTTTGAGAAAGCATGAAAATCTGTGAAAGCCAATTGGATCTTTGAGAATTCATTTCTTTTGAGAATTGCAAGAAAAACCCTAATTGCTGGTTTGCTGCCACAGAAGAAAATCTGTCTGATCGATTCCTGATCCAACTTGAATATCTGAGAAACCCTAGGGTTGTGTCTTCTATGAAAAAATGGGAGGGCAAATTTTGGGGTACAACAAGAAGGTTTGAAGACTACATCGTTGAGTTGAACTTGGAAGTTTGATATTGTGACTTAGGTGGTCCGAATATCCAAGAAGTCTTTCGGGATGCTAAAAAAACGTAACACGGGTGATTGATGAGACAATGTAGTTGCAAATAATCAAATAGATAACAGTTGAACAAAAGGATGGAAGAAAATCTCACATATTCATGAAGTCTTTTATTGCTTTCAAATCATCATTTATATACAACTTAGTAACATTATAGGTGTTTGAAACAGACAATGTATATTTTTGTCCTACATAATGCAATTAGTTATATATGTCATAAACAATCAAGAATAATAAGCTAAAGTATAGAACAATAATATGAAAAGTATGTGAAACCTTCTTTTTTGACTTTTGCATATTGTAGGAAAACAACAGTTGGAGAGGAGGCATTCTTTTTGCATTTATTGTATTTGATAAACCGTGCAGCATAAGATTCACATAGAGTACAGTTGATTAAGTTGTTGATGTGAAGTTAGAAACAAAGTTTAGTAAATATCCAGGAGTGCATGGGGTGAATATATGTTAGAACATAGTAAGCATACCCCAAGTCTTTCAAAACAATGTTGACCTGCTGTTTTTTGCCACTAGTCTGCATTTGGGTGTACCCAATTTCGTCCACCATTCCAATTAAGTCTGTAAGAAATTATAATTTCAATTAGATATACTGAAGAAAGTCAACAGAAATACTTGAGGCATAAGAAACAATATAGGCTACCTATCAATCCATCCCTTTTCCATTTTCTTGAAATAATGTCACAGAACGAAGTCACTTCAACAACTTTGTCAGGGATTGAATGTTTGTTTCTATCGCCAACAGTAGTTCTTCTAGAAAACTTTAAAAGAATTTTTTTTGGGAAGGTTTGAAGACTACGTCGTTGAGTTGAACCTGGAAGTTTCATATAGTGACTTGGGTGGTCCGAACAGCCAAGAAGTCTTTTGGGATGCTAAAAAACGTAACACATGTGATTGATGAGACAATGTAGCTGCAAATAATCAAATAGATAGCAGTTGAACAAAAGGATGGATGAAAATTTCACCCATTCATGAAGTCTTTTATTTCTTTCAAATCATTGTTTATATACAACTTAGTAACATTATAGGTGTTTGAAACAGACAATGGATATTTTTGTCCTACATAATGCAATAAGTTATATAAGTCATCAACAATAAAGAATAATAAGCTAAAGTATAGAATAATAATATGAAAAGTATGTGAAACCTTCTTCTTTAACTTTTACATATTGCAGGAAAACAACAGTTGGAGAGGAGACATCCTTTTTGCTTTGATTGTATTTGATAAACTGTGCAACATAAGATTCCCATAAAGTACAGGTGATTAAGTTGTTGCTGTGAAGTTAGAAACAAAGTTTAGTAAATATTCAAGAGTGCATGGGATGAATATATGTTAGAACGTAGTAAGCATACCCCAAGTCTTTTAAAACAATGTTGACATGTTGTTTTTTGCCCCTAGTCTGCATTTTGGTGTATCCAATTTTGTTCGTATCCAATTTTGTTCACCATTCCAATTAAGTCTGCAAGAAACTATAATTTCAATTAGATATACTGAAGAAAGTCAACAGAAATACTTGAGGCATAAGAAACGATATGGGTTACCTATCAATCCATTCCTTTTCCATTTTTCTGAAATAATGTCACAGAATGAAGTCGGTTCAACAACTTTGTCAGGGATTAAATGTTTGTTTCTATCGCCAACAGTAGTTCCTCCAGAAAAATTTAAAAGAAATTTGTGTTAGGAAGGTTTGAAGACTACATCGTTGAGTTGAACCTGAAAGTTTCATATAGTGACTGTGTCGTTAACACATAATTGTCAATCGAATGTCTTGTTATACAATGGAGAAACAACCACATGGATATCAGTCCTCTGTAAAAGCGAAACATTCATTTGGTCAAGCAAATGCAAGATAAACGTTTAATAAACACAGTAAACTAAATAGATGAAACAAAAAAAATCACCAAAACAGCTCTTTATCAACGACAATCATCGCAAAGTGCTCCTTGGTGTTGGAGATGACGTCCCACTTATGTTGAATTTTAACAACAATCTTTCAGAGTTCTTTGTCGTCACAGATGTCTTTGACACACTCAAAAGGTCTGGCTATTGCAATATGGAAGAAACCTGATAACACTGAAAACAATAAAGAAAAAACGAAATCAGGTTTGGCTCGTTGAAAAGAAATAATAAGAATTGTTCTATAGAACATACGGAGAAGAAGAAGATTCAAACTTTATCGAAGATGAGTAGTTGTTATTTTTTTGGTTCAACCATATTTATAGGAGGGAAGAATGGCATGGGTAAACCAATCTGAAGTACATGAATATTGGAATTAGTTGAATCAGGGAAGAAGTTTAAAGAATGCGTTTGGGAAGAATCAACACATTGATTAGGGCAACATATAAATACATTTTTTTTTGCCCAAAAGAAGTTTTTGAAGTTATGAATTTGAAAACCGTGATTGGACCGAATACAAAATGGTATATTTTGGCCATATTATTAGTGGAAAATAAAAGCTTAATTGTGATTGGACCAAAGCCAAAAAGGGTACTTTTCAGAATTAGTTTATAGCATTTTTAGTGAAATTTCTCATATATCCCTTTGCATCAAAAGCATGTTCATAACATTGTTCCTACAAAGAATCAAACTCAATATTCCTCAATGGTGGTTCTTTGTAGGAGATCTTTTACCATTGGAGTTCAATTGCTTGGTTTGTGTTGTTTGTAATTTAAATGCAGATAATATATAATAAATCTTATCACCCTTATCCTCACCTAAAAAAAGTAGAGGCATCAAGTTCCACTATGTTTTTTTTTCTAATGACTTGCTTTGGATTATGGTTAAAGAACAACAACCTCAAGGATTTAGAATAATAAAATAATAAATGAGTAGTTGTAATTTGTCTGTTGCTAATATGACAGAAATCGAATTCTTCTTTCACATAATTGTTCTACCTGAAATCACAACCTCAAGGATTTAAAAGGGTTTATTAGTGATCAGAAATGGGCATGAAGACAATAGCCATAGTTGTCAAGGTACGGCAGAGGGCAGTCGCTGCTCACCAGAGGAAGGCAGTGTCCCTGCGAAGACACCAAAATACCACAAAACGAGTGGCTGTTTTTGCCATTTATGTTAAACAAAATACAGTGAAAAATGGTTATATTTAATAGATTTTAAACAGAGTGAATGACACAGAAACCTTTAAAAGTAGAGCCTTAAATAACAATATACAACATCTTACTAACGTTACAGTGGCAACATATACTTTTGCATATAAACAGATACTATTACATTACATAAACAATATTTTGATGCAACACCAATCATTTTTTCCAAATTACAAACATTACAACAACTTATTATCATTTCGAGATACAATAGCAACTATTGAGATACGCGAGCAGCATAAACAACAATTTCAAGAGACAGTGGCATCAAAGGAGGGGAAGCCATATCTCTCAATTCCCTTACTCTATGATCCAATTAATACACACATGTAATAAGCCATCAATTAAGAGGGGACATCCAATGATTTCTAGGGTCTGTAATTTAGTAAGGCGGAGCATTTCATCAGGTAGTGAAGCTAAAACTTGACATTCTCCAATGTAGATATATTCAAGTGACAGAAGGTTGCAAATCCAAACTGGAAATGCCTCTAGATCGGAACATAACATTATATCAAGATTTTTCAGCCAAGGAAGACACTTGAGTCTGTCCTTAAACTAAATTTCATTTTCTTGAAATTGTTGGTTTTTAAGATTGTGAAAACCAAGATCCTTGAGAGAAGTCAGATTTTCCACCCATTCATTTGGGAGTGATTTCGCGTCCAGCTCATGTCCCGCAAGACTCAAGCTTTTTAGCATGGAAAATGGAGGGAATTCAATCGAAAAATTGGATTTTACCATGCTTAATGTTATTTTTACTATGTCCGTCTTACAATCATTGAGAAGCAAATACTCACTGAGGTTTTGAAAATTAGGCATGTGAGTCAACATTGGACAATCAATGATAGTTAAGTAAGAAAGACAAGGAAAAAAGGAGAAATAATATGATTGTGAAGAGTTATCATCACAAGTGATACCATCCCTTATCCTCCACCACCCCTTCAACTTTTTACATTCTAAAATTCCGAGATCCTCCAGAGAAGGGAAGGGTGTTTCTGACAAAAGAGACTCTTCATAATATATGTACTCCAAATTCACGCTCAGAAATATCAAGTGACTTTCAATAGGTCTTTTTATCTCACTATCCAAGTAACAACAATCATTGTTGGATACTTGAATTGCGAGATCGTGTATTAAATCGTGCATTTTGAAACTATATATACCACACTTACCATCATATTGAGCAACTTGGAAAAATGACTTCATCAAGAAAATCTTCACAAATTGATTACCGATTTCTTCCATGGTCTGGTTTTCATCTGAAAATCCAAGATGACCTTGTGCCTTCCACAATTGAATCAACTCATCCTTCTCTATTTCCCAATCCTTAGGATATAAAGAGCAATAAGAAAAACATTTTCTTAATTGAGGCGACAAGTTTTGGTAACTTAGTTTCAACACTGGCATGATGCTATCTTCATCTTAACATAATTTCCAAAAGTCACCTTGTAAAATAGTAATCCATTCCTTTTTTTTCACTTTTACCCTGCAATAGGCCTCCCAGCGTTCTAATTGCTAGTGGCACACCCCTACACTTCTATGCTATCTTCATACCAATTGGTTCAAGAATTTGATCAATTCCTTTAGTCTCATCACCATATGTAATAATTTTCTTCAACAAACTCCAAGATGCAATTGGGTTCAAAATATCCAGAGTATAGGGGACACTTACACCCATTGTTTGGGCTACAACTTTGCTACGAGTTGTTACTAAAACCATATTGTCTTGAGCACCACACATCAAATAAGTCCTCAACCGAGCCCATTTTTCAAAACTTTCGTTCCAAATGTCATCTAGGACTAACAAGTATTTCTTACCTGGTAAATTGCCACAGAGCATACTTTGCAAGTTTTCCAATGATAACTTATCGTCAATTTCCCTTTTGGTTAATGACTCCATCATTTTCTTTACAATAGTTTTGACAACAAAGTTATCGGAGACACATACCCACATACTCTTTTCAAAGGAAAATTTTACTTCACAATCATTGTATACCAACTGAGCAAGAGTCCCCAAACCACCAATCCCAACAATAGCAAGCACAGAGATATTTTGGTTTCCATGTGATTGGCTCAACAAGCTTATAATCCTGTTTTTATCATATCTGATTTTATCACATAAGAACTAGTATCCCTCTTTACATTGTTACTATGTTCAACCACCACAAATTTTCTGTTTAGATTCAACTGAGACATATCTTTCTCAACATCATTAAGTTTCTTTTGTATTTTTTCAATCTTATGAGCCATTCTAATGCGAAAAGATATCTTATTTGGATAGAAGGAATGAAGTACCTGGGTCAGTTTGTTCTTATGAGATTCATCTATTTTGTGTCTCATATTTTGAATAAGAAAATCATCTAGCAAGTCTTCAGAAGGATGAAGCACATCATCTTTGAGTCTTCTTATCCAGATCCGTATGGACAAAGGAACAAATATAGGGCAGCTTAAAATCTCTTATTTTCTTTATATATAGTTATAGATAATAAACTAGTACATATGATAATTTGAATGGAATGAATATTAGATAAATGATTGAGAATAAAGTCAAGTCACCTGTTAATGAGGTTTTCAGCAACACCAGATACAATTTGCTCAGCCATCTTTCAAAAATAAGAAACAAGTATCTGATCGTTGTGGAGTTTGAGAGTGGCAATGAAATGAAGTCTATGAAAAGTGTAGGTACATGATTGTAGTTAAGTAATGATTGGACAAAAATGAAATCTAGGAAAAGTATCAGAATAATACTTTACTTGACCAATGTATGGACAAATTTGAACTCTATGAAATCTATCAGAATAAGACATTACTTGACCAATTGACCAAAATATGGACACAAATGAACTATAGGAAAAGCATCAGAATAAGACATTACTTGACCAATTTACCAATCTACAACAAAATACAGTGAAAAATGGTTATGTTTAATTACATTGGCAACATATACTATTGCATAAACTATAAAATACCATTGTATAAGATACTATTACATAAACTAGCATCATCATCAAAGGAGACGAAGTCATATCTCTCAGTTCCTTTACCCAATGATCCAATTAATAAACATATGTTATAGTCCATTCACACTAGCAGCCACCTTTGGGATTGATTGCAGCTACATTTCTATCAACATCCATGCACGTTCCATTCACCAGGCTCTCATAATTGTGTTATATCTCTTCCTCATGTATGCTCAAACTTCAACTTGCAAATATCTTTAAAAAAACTGTTCCTCGTCCTCTCCACCAGTTTCAAATAAGAAAATTGATTCTTCTTGGTATTCCTGTAATGTGATGCTTAGAATTATCCTAATAGTAATTGTATATATCTGTAACTCCTATCTACTACATGTTTAGAAATACTAACAAAATATAATATTAAAAGGAAAATGCATGCAAATACGAACCATGTACACCCAAAACCTGTTAAATCTGAACATAAGTATATTACAGTTATAGGTAGAAATGCTGATATAACTTTTTGCCATGCATAGTCAATTGGAAACTATATAACTCAAAAGGAATTTGAATCGTATCAGAATCATAGCATCCATGATTTAAACAATTGCATCAGTACAATGTTTATCAAGAGACAGTGTACTGAGGCATTATTACCTAAAAATTGGTGAACAGTATTGAAATTCTGCGTGTTTCGGAAAAATAGAAGGCATGCATATGAAATGAAACTAGCTAAAATAAGTTATTGGTCAAAAAAATAAGTGCAATAACAAATTAAGACTCAAGATACAATCATAATCAAAAAGTTATAAGGAATTTTTTGACGTTAGAAATAAAATCAATCTGCTAGGACAAATAACGAAGTTCTAGAAATTCAAACAGATGCCAAATAAATATTATGTCATGATGGCTAATAACGTCTCTTGTTTAATGATAGATTTTTATTTTTACTATTGTGTAAACTATTTCAAGATACAATACAGATAAAACACCAATATAATACCACAAGAGCACCAATCATTTTTTCTCAATTACAAGTCATTATCATTTCAAGAGACACTCTCAATTCCTTTACTCAATGTAATAATCCATCCACATACAGCACAACATTAGCAGTCACATTTGGCCACACCTTTGAGTTGGGATTGATTGCAGCTACATTTCCATCAACATTCATGCCCATGTCGATGGCATCAGCTAGATAGTTGCCATGACACAGACACAAAGGTAAGTAACTAAAAGTGGTGTAAGCAATAACTTTGCTCCAGTTATCGATCAGCACAACCAAAGAGGATAAACGCATGTGTTGTAAATCGTTTTAACAACAAAATTCATACTCTAGAGCAATTTTTCAAAATCCAATCAGAGAGATTCTTCAAAAAAAAAATCAGTGGCTGATTTACCAAATTTGTTAAACAAAATACAGAGAATATGGTAGTACAACCCCATCTGTGAACTTAGCAGTGCACTTGGATCATATCAGTACCATAATATCCTTCAAGTAAGTGAAGGATGTTAGCAAGATAACAACTATATGACTCTAAAGCATCAAACTTAGCAGTGCATTTGAATCATATCAGAATCATAACATCCGACAAAAAAGTGACATAGTACTAGTAAGACATTGTCACTTGAATTATTCTTCCATGACTTAAACAATATAATTAGCTAAAAAATGGTTCACAAGTACAGTACTGAAATCCGAGGGTCTCGGAAAAATAGAAGGCACAAATATAAAACGAAACTAGCTAAAAAATGTATTGTTCAAGAAAATAAGTGCAATAACAAATTAAGACACAAACATATTCGAAGAGTGAGACGACAATTTTTTAGGTTAGAAATAAAAACCTCCTGCTAGGACATAGATACACATCCAACAAAGCCATTTACAAATCTATTTACTTCTGAAATTCTAGAAAATCAAACAACAGACACAAAATAAATTTAAGAGGAAATAGGTACCTTTAATGAGAAGATCACTTTAAGATTATGTTGGGGATGTGAGCAATTTTAGACCATGTCGCACTTGTTTCTGTCCGGCATTCCTCAATTAAGAGAGGACACTCAATGATTTCTAGGGTCTGTAATTTAGCAAGGCGAGGCATTCCATCGGGCAGTGAAGCTAAAATTTTACATTCTGAAATGGTGACATGTTGAAGTGACGGAATGTTGCAAATCCAAACTGGAAATGCCTCTAGATCGGAACAATCAGAAATTTCAATCTTTTGCAAGGAAGGAAGACAAATGAGTTTGTCCTTAAAACAAATTTCAATTTCATGAAATGTTTGATTTGGAATATCATAAAATACAAGATGCTTGAGAGAAGTCAGATTTTCCATCCAATCACTTGGGAGTGCTTTAACGTCCAGCTCATGTCCGCCAAGAAACAGATCTTTTAGCATGGAAAGTGGAAGGAATGCAATGGAACCATTTGATTTTACCATGTTTAATGTTGCTTCCAATGCGTCCATTTTACAATTCCAAAAAACGAATTTCTTGTAGAGGTTTGGAAAAGTAGGCATGTGAGTCAACATTGGACAATCAATGATAGTTAAGTAAGAAAGACAAGGAAAAAAGGAGAGATGATATGATTGTGAAGAGTTATCATCACCAATGATATCATCCCTTACCCTCCACCATCCCTTCAACTTTTCACATCCAAAAATTCTGAGGACCTCCAAAGAAGGGAAGAATGCTTCAGACAAAAGAGACTCTTCATAATATATGTACTCCAATTCATGAAGGTCATCAATAACAAGTGACTTTAGGAATGGGAGACGTTCAATTGGTTGGAGATACTGCACACCTTGACACTTAATAAGAAATATTTCAACAATGTTTGTGAGTGAAGAAAGCCAATTGGAAAAAGTTAAACTCTTATACCACTCCCCCAAGCTTAATTTTCCAAATCCAGCTGTTGTCTTCTTCTCTTTAAATGCTTTTAAATTTTCAATATGAAGATGTCTCAAATTAATTAAACTTAAGATATCTTTTGTAGAAAATTCAACTCCTTCACACCCTTCCAATATTAGTGTTTGAAGAAAAACAATGTTACCAATGGATTTGAAAAGGTCTTCTAGTCCTACACAATAACATAACTTAAGATATCTTAAATGCTTTAATTTTCCTATAGAATCACACGACTTACTTATAGAACAATATGACAACTTCAAGGCATGTAAGTATTTGAATTTTAAACTAACAGGCAATTCCTTCTCATTCCAAATATCTTGATGTTTGGACAACAAAATCAATGTCCGCATCCTACTTGCATCCATTGACTTTGACAAACCAATAGCATCACTTTTCAACATTACATGCATGGGACTTCCAACAACTCTTTTTGTCTCAGTATCCAGGTAACAACAATCATTGCCGGCTACATGCATTGCGAGATCATGTATTAAATCATGGATTTTGAAGTGAAATAAATTCCCATCATCATCAAATTGAACATCTCGGAAAAATGACAACATAAAGAAAATATTTACGAATTGGTTACCAATATCTTCCATGGTCTGTTTTTCATTTGAAAATTCAAGATAACCTTGTGCCATCCAAAGTTGAATCAACTCATCCTTTGGTATTTCCCAATCCTTAGGATATAAAGAGCAATAAGCAAAACATTGTTTTAGTCGAGGCGACAAGTTTTGGTAACTTAGTTTTAACACTGGAATTATGCTTTTTTCATATTCACTTTTCCAAAAGTCACCATGTAAAATAGCAATCCATTCATTTTCTTTACTATGGCGCCGTAATAGGCCTCCCAGCATTTTGATTGCTAGCGGAACACCACTGCACTTTTCTACTATCTTCTTACCAATTGATTCAAGTTTTTGGTTCACTTCTTTGATCCCATCTCGATATGTTACAATGTTCTTCAATAAACTCCAAGATTCTATTGAATTCAAACCATTCAAAATATAGGGGACACTTACACCCATTGTTTGTGCTACTATTTTAGAACGAGTTGTAACTACAATCTTACTGCCTTGAGCACCACACATCAAAGAAGTCCTCAACCGAGCCCATTTTTCAGCATTCTCGTTCCAAATGTCATCTAAAAATAACAAGTATTTCTTACCTGTTAAATTGTCACAAAGCATATTATGCAAGTTTTCCAATGGTAAAGTATCACCGATTTTGCTATCGGTTAGTGACTCAATTATTGTCTTAACAATAGTTTTGACATCAAAGTTATCAGAGACACATATCCACATACTCTTTTCAAACATGTCTTTTACTTCACGATCATTGTATACCAACTGAGCAAGAGCAGTCTTTCCCAATCCACCAATCCCAACAATAGCAACCACAGAGACATGGTGATTTTCATCATGTGATTGCCTCAACAAGCTTATGATCTTTTTTTTATCATCTTCTCTTCCGGTGATATCTGATTCGAACACAAAAGAACTAGTTTCCCTCCTTACATTGTTACTATGTTCAACCACCACAAGGTTTGGGTTCAGATTCAAATAAAACATATCTTTGGCAATATCATTACACTTCTTTTGTATTTTTTCAATCTCATGAGCAGTTCTACTGCGAAAAACAATTTTGTTTGTAGAGAAGGAATGAAGTACCTTTGTCATTTTGTTCTTTTGAGTTTTGTGACTCATATCTTGAATAAGAAACTCATCAAGCAAGTCATCAACAGGATGAAGCACATCATCTTGGAGTCTTCTTATCCAGATCTGTATGGCACGATTTTGTTGTTGCTTGTCCTCGGCATCAAGGAGCACATCTTTGATGAGCTCAAAAGTTCTTCTAAGACTTTCCAATTCATCCATAACACCATAAATCCTTCCAAATTCACGAAAAGCAGCAGAAGCCAACCTGAGAAAAGAAAAATTGTCAGCATACCAACTTAATCATATTTTCATTTAGATAAAAGATTGACAATGAAGTCAAGTCACCTTTTAATGAGGTTTTCAGCAACAGCGTATACCATTTGCTCGGCCATGAAAGAAGAATGAGATCGATGCTGAGTTTGAAAGTCTAGGAAAAGCATCAGGATAAGACTGTACTTGACCAATTTAAGGATAAAAATGGTAATTACGCCTTGTCCAAAGATAAAATTTTAAAAGTTGGATTCTTTTTTATTTTTATTTTTTAACCTTTTCTTCATATATTGCAAGCTTGCCAACTAAAACTCAAAGATTATTTTTAAGGATCTTTTATGTCAACGTTCCAAAAATGAAAATAAAGTTTTGAATTGCCTCACTTAAAACAAAATCCAAAATGCTCTACTTTTTAATTCCGTTCAAGAATAAAAAATGGAGAGAAGTTCGAAAGTAACGACTTAGAAGAGTTTCAGGTGCGGCGGAAAGGAGATGTGTATCTGCAAGATTAGCACCGTGACGCTTAAGTCAGCATGTGAAGAAGAATAATGTTAGATGTAAATTTGAGGTTTAAGTTTGAATAATTAGCAAAGAGTCTTTTCAAGAGAAACCAAGAATAGTGAAAATGTTTCAAGTTCGAGGTTTTCGATAGAAGATAGTCTTTTCGATCGAAGTGTGGTGAAATAACGCAAGATCTAAACTTAACGTTTTGTAAACAAATTCTAAGCAGGTTCGACAAGGATATTTGAATTTTTTGCGCTTATTTGTTCATTTGAAAAGAGACGTGTGAAAGCCTGTGAATGGTCGAATACATGCAAACGAGAACGTGTCCTCTTCTGATGAGAAGACCGTTCGTGTCGAATTAGTAATAGGAGTCTTTAGTTTTAGGATTATGTGTGTTCAACATTGTACAAATTACTCAGATTTATTCAAAGTACCAATTGTTATCGAGAAACGAGTTTCTGAGAATGTATGTATGAAGTACCATACTTACTGTCAATATCAGTTCATTTTCATTAAAGTTATTTACATTCTTTGACATTCAAGTCGAAACTCCTTTATTTTCCAGTTATTTTCATAAATTGTTTAGTTATTACTTTCAAGTTTATTTTCACTTTCAAAGAGATCAATATCCAAAAAACTTAAAACCCAAATTACACACTACCATCCTAAAATCAATCTAGTTGATCCTGCAAATAATCAAAAATATTAAATTTTGGAAGACTATCGATTGTTTACCAAATCTTACAGTAAATAAATTGGCATGTTCAATGGTACTTGTGTCTAGTGTGTATATTTTTAAAAAACTTTTTTATATTTGTTTTCATATAAATTTTCTTCTAACAATGTTTCATGAGATTAAGAAGTGATAGAGTAGCCAAAACTAACGAAGTAATACCAAAAAGGAAGTATGTTAGAAGAATGATTAATCCACCAAGCAAGAATGGAGAACAACTCCCTCCTTCGACGGGGGAAAATACGGTTGCAGTATTTGTAATCGAATCTGTACCCATTCTAGTGAGTACGGAGGCAATATCGACAAATGCTCATAGTGGACCAATTATCTCTCAAGTGTGAACGTAGGATCAACCACTAACCCCAAGACCACCAAGGATGAATAAGTTCAGAAATTATGTGTCTGGATGTACAATGTCAACGAATGGCCGCAAACAAATTTATTGCATGCCAACGTCAGTAATGGCAAATTTTCACAATAGCACATCAACTTTCCCTGATCCACGAATGTCTGCATTTTCACCATTACAAGGATCAGGATCAAGCATTAACAACATGAGTCGAAATACCCAACCCCCTGGATTTGCTGCCCAACTGCCTGTTATTACAACAAATTTTGCGGCGGCATTAAGACAACAAATGAATGATAGCAATCACGAAATGGTTCGTGTGCTTGCCCAGCAAATGGGCGTAATATTCAACCCTTTGATCCAAAATGCTACCCAAAATAATCAACAGAATGCCCAAACAAATCAACAACCGGCAGTATAAATGGTGCAAATTACATATTTCTTTGGGGAACCTCAAGCGTCAGTTTGATAGCCCCGTCGAGAATGGTTAACAAAAAACCAAGGAGTAATTTTCGAAGAAGATCCAACAATTAACCAGGCCCAACCACTTGTGCCAAATGCTGGCAAAGTTAACCAGGGGCAAAGATTCGAACCACGTAGGGTCGAACAAGTAATACCAAGGGAGGGAGAAGCCTAAATAGTAGTATTGATTAACCGAAACTAGGATGCAAACGAAGTCATCCATCGTGTTCGACAATATGAACTTGCAGGAGAAAATAATTTGGCAGCCATGGTGGAAAGGATAATGGCGTGAAATAGGGTAAACATAGGCCTTCGCAGGCCAAATTATACTTCCCCTTTGTCTGAATACATTTTACAAACCGAGTTACCTAGGGGATGGAAAGTCACAAAGTTCATAAAATTCTCTGGTGACACCAGTGAATCTACTATCGAACACATAGCCAAGTATTTGACTGAGGCTGGGGATATTGCAAACAACAACAAAATTAAGGATAATATATTTCCCTAGTTCCTTAACCAATAATTCCTTTACTTGGTTCACTACTCTCCATGCGAATTTCATCCATGATTGGACTCGCTTAGAGAGATTATTTCATGAACAGTTTTATATGGGTCAGTCGAAGATAAGTATGAAAGACTTGGCTAGCATCAAGCGTAAGTTTAGAAAACCAATAGATGACTATCTCAATAGGTTATGTTTGTTAAAGGAAAGGTGTTTTGCACATGCGCCAGAACATGAACTAGCCGAAATGGTTGCTGGGGACTATTCCATTAGGAAGAAACTAGACACTTAGTACTTAAGAGATATGGCCCAATTAGCAGATAGAGTTCAATAAGTGGAACGCTTGCAGGCTGAAAAAGCAAGGACAAGTAAGAATAATATAAAAGAAAGGGTAGCATACATAGAAATGGATGAGGACGAACCATAGGCTTACAGTGACCCTATAGGCTTTGACAAAAGCAAAATTGATATGGCTGAATTGAAACAATGGCCACCTTATTCATGCAAAGTCCTCGCTCATTCAAATGGAAAGAATCTCGTCGAACAAGAAAAGAATGACAAATTCCCTAAAAGAAAATACAAATTTGATGTAACATAGTTGTAATACGGTGGGAGAACTGACTTGGTGTTTTGCGCTTTATCATAATTGTTGTGGATAGCAAGAGTCACCACTGACTTTTATTTTATCCAATAAAGTAAAGGGTGAAAAGAACAAGAAAGACCTTTTGAGAATTTTCTTGAGTTCGGGGGGTAGGTTATGAAAAGAGAAGGTTTTAGCATCCTTTTCGTCCGTAGTTATCTACGGGCTCTTAATTGCTTGATCACTTTGAAATGCTTTGTGTTTGTGTACGTTTGAAAATATTTAAAGATTTTTGAAGATGATAATTTTGTAATAATTCTCGTATCATTGTGAATGTATACAAAATGTTTATTTTTGGAAATAATTTGAAAATGCCTTAGTGCGGTAATTTTGCATGATTCTCGTATCGTTGAGAATGTATATAAAATGTTTGTTTTGAAAATATTTGTTTGAAAAGAGAGTGTTTGAAAAGATGTTTACTTTTTTGAAAGTGTGAGTTGTGGAAATGGTTTTAGTTTGTGAGCAAGCAATTACGAGCAATCTACCTACTCAAAAAGTCTTTGTTCTTTTCCTCCTCCTTTAGATAGTGCTATTTTATCATTGTTTGGTAGAGAGCCTTATCATTGGATGTGAGGGACGGGCGTGGGTCATCGTACAGTTATAGAAGGAAACTTGTAAGATGTTTTAGCAACTGTCGTAAGGGACTAAGATCGTTTACCAAAGGCAACATTGAAGGGTCGTCGAGGGACTACGATCTTTTAATCGAGGGTCTTTTGCTAAAAAATCTCATTTTTGAGGGACATGACTATTTTTATTCGAGGCAACAAGTGTGGGTTACCCTAGAAGTGCATGTGTGCAAAATATGTTTGATTCAATTATTTTATCTTTGAATTATGGTTTTGCTAGGTTTGATTTTAAGTCTTATCATACAAACCATAATTACTAACAATAATACGGAAAGCGATAAATTGCGGAATTTAAATATCCAACGCTATTACAACACTTTGGGAATGGGGAGTACAAGTTTGTGAAATAGAGAGAAGAAAGTAATAAAGCCTAATTATCTATTACAAACCATTGAATATGAATAATAATAAAGTGCACAAAATGTAAAGATGAAGAAGAAAGAGAAGAAATTGCTTTTTTGTGGTTTTTGATGGAAAATGTTTAAAGATTAACCTAATCAAACTAATTAACTTTAATTTACAAGAGAAGTTAATTAATATTTTAAATAAAACCTAAAAAATCTAAGTTAATTAAAATAAAACCTAAGTATAATTTAATTTGTTTAAAAAATGATTTAGATGTCAATGTGTTGTACCCCAAAATTTTCCCTCCCATATTTCTCAAGACATGTCAAGAATCATCTCCAAGTTGTTCAAGATGGCTCAAGAGTTGGACAATCAAATCACCTCCTAAGGCAGTCAGTTCAAAATTAGGATTTTGTATTGAATCAAGGTCCTCACATCCAAATGGTCTCAAGTGATCCCCAATTTACTAACATGTTCTCAAGTTCATCCATGTCAAATTTCAAGCCTTGTAGAGAAAGTTTGGTCAGTCAATTGCTCAAGAAGTCCAAAAATCGACTGTGCTAGGACAAAAGTCAGCTGTGACCTAAATACAGTCAAACCTCAAGATTTTTTGCCAACATTCTCATTGTGAAGGATAATTCATCATTTGATCAAGGGTTGATCATGATTCATCAAGGATTTCTCAAGATTCATCAAGATTCAAAAGTTGCTAAATTAGGGTTTTGCAGGAAAAGTCAACTCAAATTTGACCAAGCATAACTTTCTCATACTTTATGAGAAATGACCCATCCAAAGCTCATTTTTAATAGGATGAAATTTCCTACAATCCATCTTCACACCCAAATATCAAGAAATGCTCTCACAAAAAGTTACAAATTTGGACATTATAGGTCATTTTTGAAAGTCAACAAAAACACCTTTTATTCCAAAACTTATAATTTGAGCATGGAATATCAAAATG